TATATATTCATTCACCCAAACCAGTTGGTGTATCCATATACCCAACACCTTAAAAAGAGGGGGGGGGGGAGGAAAGAAATCATTAATACTAAAGCTTTTCCTTTAAAATAAAATGCAGATGTAAAAATTAGACTTAAAAAGACAAAAAGAAAGACAAAAACAAGTCCCAAAAGGCCAAAAATCCAAATAGCTATTACAAAAAGTAAACTAGTAAGGAGGAGGTTTGTTAAAGTAAGAAATAGCCCAGCTTAAAAAAAATAAAAAGTGCACACTGCACCTTGTTTGGTTATCCAAGGCTTTTGTTAAAATTTATATCTCTCTTCTCCAGAGTCTTATCACCTTTTTTTTCTATAAACTTCAACACCAGACTCCAGTTATTGATAGAAACCCAGAAGAGCACCTGCAATAATACTCTCCCATGCTCTTCCCTCTATCTTATCAAACAGCAATGTCCTTGAAAAGAAGGCTCAGTACTTTCTCAGCTTTGTCTGGTCAGGAAAAAAAAAGAGATAGAATATTTCCAAGCCTCTAGTTGGCAGTGTTACAAAGTTTCTTCTGCTTTCACTTTCCCCCTCCTTTTCCAAACAAGATATAATAAAAATTAATTAAAAAGGGAAAAAGATATTTAAAAAGATGACTAAAAGGGAGTCTCTAGCCTAGAATATTATAAAGTCAAAAAGGAGAGAAAGAATAGGTGGAAGAAGAAAAAAAACCAGTCCAGTTTCAAAATATAAAATCGTGTAGAAAATCCAGCAATGAGAAATAAAAATAAAAATATTACTTTGACTTCCTGTTTAAAATTGCCGCTTAGTCACTTCTGTCAAAACGTTTACAGATTCTTTCTTTTCCTTAGGGTGTCCTTTCAAATCTTAAAGTAAAGAAAAAATTCTCACCAAACCGGCACACTTTCTCTTTCCGTTCTCTTTCGTTTCGGAGCTGTCCCAACTTCAGCAGCTTTAATGGCTGCCTCTTTGCCGCTGGCAAAAAGAGCTTCCCCTGGATCTACCAGGGACTTTGCGGTATCCCTGGGATCGACAGGATGCACTCTTTACATTCACCATCTCTTCGGGACGGTTTAGATCCGATAGGACCGTCCAGGAGCAACGATATCGGCAGCGATCTCAGACCGTCAAGATTGCATGCCGTATCATCTAGACACCAACTCCGCCTCCCAGAACCATCTGCTTCTGATGCCAATGCTGCATTTATGTTTTAAAAATAAATACCGTTCTTCATTTATTAGCATGAAAAAGTCCAACTGGACAGTCAGTAGTGAGAGTTTTACTTTCTAAAGATGTAACTGCAGCTACTGGATCAGAAAAGTAAATTCTTAAAAAATGTAGTATAACACATAAAAATGGAAGGAAAGATGAGAACATTATGTAAGACAAGCATTAATATTTAGCATTAATTTGGCTTTCCCTTTTTTAATTTCTTTCTTCCCAGGAAGATGGAACTAAAGCAATATGAAAATGGGTCTATTTATAAAAATACTACCCTTCATGAAAAAACTTTTATTGAAAAATCACCCCCTGTACCCCTAAAGAGAAGCGAAAGGAAAGGTAAGAAAAGAGCCTTATTTGTTCTCCGGAGAATCTGGAGAAATTATTTCATATCTACTCATAACAAAATCCTGAGTTGGTACAGAATACACAACTGTGAGCTTGAAGAGGACCAATTAGAACACAATATCATTTGCAATGTGCTTTTCATTTTGTGGCTGTCCTGCTAGCTTCAGATCATGAAAGACCCATATCTGAAAGGGAAAAGGAGGGATGAAAGACAGAAGAATGAAGACATAGAAAGAAAGATGAGTGATCGGATATGTGTTTGTGAAGAGATGTGTCCTCCTTCTCTATAATACCCAAACATTTGAATAAAGGGTTGTGAGGAGTTTGACATTCTCCTGTTGTAATATTAAGGGTTTGTCTTCAAGACAGAGAGGTACTAGAGAATTGAATTAGAGCAGAGGTGTCAAACTCAATTTCATTGAGGGCCTCATCAGGATTGTGTTTGATCTTGGGGGGGCGGGGCATGGCCAGCTGGATTCATTCACCAAGGCTTTGTTTTGGGCTGTGACGTGTGCAGCCTCGAGTTCCATTTTCGCCGGCAGAGGGTTGCAGGGGGCCACCGCAGCCCAAAACAGAGCCCGGGAGGGAAGCACACAACCCTCCCAAGCTCCTTTTTCACTGCCAGAGACGCCACGGGCTGGTCCTTCACTGTTTCCAGGGTGGGCACACGGGCCAAATCTAAGCCCCCTATGGGCTGGATATGGCTCCAGGGTTTGACACCCCTTAATTAGAGTAATAAGGATTTAGAGTCTGCTGAAATTTGATTTGTTGTTTATTTTCCTATTGTTTGGAAAAATATTTATGGATTTGCTAACTAAATTATAATGCATCTACAGCTTTGCTACCTGGATACTGCAAATACACATCCATTCTGGTCTTTCTAATATTAATTATTAATTATATTAATTTTCCACAATTAGCCTCCACACCATTTAAAGATTTTTGTTTCTTTAAATCTAAGGTAGCCCCAGTAAAGATGGAGAAAACAAGCTGCTACCACAAGGGAACATTCAAGACGACAAACCTTTAGAGCCTTTAGAAGAACATGTAAACAGATCAGCAGACACAGATCTTCCTACTTTCTTCAGTGCTATGAAATATAGGTAGTATGCCACCTGGATGGAGCATCCTCCCAAAACTTAATGGAATTTAATCCAAAGCAGTATAACTCTCCACAGAATTTATCATCTGCATGCTTACCTAATATGGTTTATAACAGAAGAAAAACTAGTAAACATTTATAAATATTATAAACTACAGCTAGTCCTTGACTTTTAGCCAGTTATTTTATTATCATTCAGAGTTATGACAGAAACAAAGCAGCCCCCCCCCCCCCCCAATCATTACAAATGGTCACACCACCTCCCTTCTGTGGTCATGTGAACTGCATATTGGGCAGGGCAGCTTTATGACCAATTGTGGCACACCACCTTTATAAGACCGTAATTTGTAGTATTTTTGTGTGGGATTTTTTGGGGGGTGTGGTGGGGTGGATGAGAAAATGCTGGTTCATTTAATGATTGCAGCATTTGTTTAATACTGGCTTGAAAAAGACTATAAAATTGCATAAATGCCTCAGCCTACAGCCATTGCACAACTGTAACCAATCCTAGTTTACATTTGTAAATCAAAGACTACCTGTAGAAGGTTTTGAAATAGGATTCAGGGTGGAGTTATTTTTTATTGTTATCGCAGGATTGGGTTTTTAATGTTTCGTTTGCATTCTTTTCCAAAGATTTAGTGATATCAAGCTTTTTGATGATGGGGGAATACCAACAGAAGAATTTCTGAATTCCTGTTATGAAATAGTTCCAGTCTTGGGTAGGTATGATTGCTGGTTTTCTCCATAACATTTATTGTATATGGATGCTGTTGGCTGCATTGGGTATTCTACGCTGGATCATAGAATAGATTCTGTAGATTGTAAATAGGTGATCCTTAGTTATCCTCAGTATTTGCCTTAGACTTTTCCAAAATAATTCAGTAACATAAGTAAGTCTTTCTTTTTTATGATAGTTAGGAAGATAGAGAATGATCTAAGAAGTTGTTATGGATTATTAGTGGCAATAACCCATAATAACCATAGTTGTTAACCGTTATTGGTGGCAGGAAGATAAAATAAACTTGATTACAGGTTTTAGGCAGATTTTTTTTAGGCAGTTGCAACATATCTTTTCCTTTTTAAAAATAATAACTTTATATAACTTTATAAAAAGTTTTAATTACAATAATATTTTTCCTGCAGAATTTTTTCTTGAAGGATCTCTTGGCATGTATTTTAATTTAATTTTAATTTATTTTTATTCTGTGTTTTTTTTTAATAATTTAAGCCAGCGAACAGATCTAATATTCCTTCCTTCTCCTGACTTTCCCACAACAACCTTTTGAAGTGAGCTGCACTAAGAGAGAGTGACTGGTCCAAAGTCACCCATCTGGCTTTCATGCCAAAATGGGTTTAGAACTCACAACCTGTTATTTTCTAGCCCAGTGTCTAAATCAAATCGGCTTGCAATGTGTAAGTTGAGACATTCAATATGTCTGAAATAAGTCTCAAATAAAACTTCACTGTAGAGTGCGGATCTACTTGGATAAACTTCAGTAGGGAAAGCTTTTTATTTGTTTCCTTGGTACCAACCAATAATCAATGAAACTTACTTCTAAATAGACTTACAGACCTCTTTATAAATGTTTCATTGTTTATTTTTTGTCTGGCTCTTGCTATATTTTCATGGAACTCCATTGATTTCCATAGTGTTGCCTTTGGATGTTGTCTTCTTTCTAAGCATGAAACAGATCAAGATCTATATAGCAGCATGATCTTGATTAGTCTGAAAGACTGATTTCAACAATTCATTCATGCATTCATTCATTTAGTTTTTATTCATTAAATTTATATACCACACATCTCCCTAATCAAAATAACATTATTTCAGAGTGTAATTTAGAAGCTCCTAATATTTAGCTCATTTTGTCCAGGTTCAATCTCTTATGCATCTCCAATGCATATCTAACCAATTTAGCTTGGGTTTTTCAGATAGTCCCCAACTTACGGCCTTAATAGAGACTGGGGTTTCTGTTGTAAGACATGGATTATAAATTGAAGCACCCAGGTGACTGGGCCTGGTTTTATTACCTTTTTTGTGGCAGTTGTTAAATGAACAAGTAATGTAGTGATAATAAGTAAATCAACATTCCTATAGGCATTTTCAGCTGGAAATGACCTAGAAAGGCCAGAAATGGGCAAAACCCATCATAAATTACAGTCACATGACCTCAAAACATTGTCCAGTCAAAAAGGTGAGCGGATTGTCCAGCACGTGAAATGAAGTCATGTGACTCGGGTGGTCAGAGAATGCAACCATTGGAACTACAGTACTAAGTCATGTAGCTTTGGGGGTCCATCCTAACTTTGAACTAAGTAATCGGTCATCAAATGAGGACTACCTGTATATGTACCAATTTTACAAAGAGTTGTTCATCAGGCTTGAGCTGTCCTCCAAAATAGTTCTAAATGTGTGTTGTGGCCATGAAATTTCTAAAGCCATTGCTCTAGGAAGTCTGCAAAGCCTGAACATGTTAAATGCTCTTATGAAGATGTATCCCTTTAGGTGGGGAAGGAAGGCTAGTGAGATGTTCCAGATGTTTATTACGAAAGATTTAAAAATATCTTGTAAAGATTATAAGCTAATTCAAGCTATCATTGCAGATGGTCCCCACTTAATGGCATCCTGTTCAGTAACTAGTTAAATTTATGATGGTACTGAGTGAATGGAATTTACAACCATTTTTCACAGTTACAGTGGTTGCAGCATCTCCACAGATTTACTGTATGATCTGTGGAGTGGACCCTTGGCACCCAGTTTGCAACTAAGACATCTTTCCATCCTGAGACTACCATTTGCAATCTTCTTTACCAGTTTCTGACAAACAAACTCAGTGGGGAAGCCAGGAGGAAGTCACAAATTGTGATCACATGACATCATGCTTAACAGCAACCAGAAGTACTAGAATACATCACTAAAGACATGATCGTGTGATGTTGCGTTTTATTATTTAAATTTCTGTTCCAATTATTGTCATTAAGTGAAGGCTAGCTATACTTTTCTCAAAAATTATGTCTCAACCTGGGACCAACACTTTGTATCCAACACAGATTGTTTGAAAATAGTTTGCAGCTTTAGCAACATTGGGGGTGAAAGGAGTTATTTTTTAAATAATTATAATTTTGGACTGTTCTCTAAAAGAATGAGAGAAATGAATTAAGAACAATGATGTCATGTAGGCATTTGGAAGAAGAAGCATGCCAAATTTATGTTAACAGAAAACTGAGATATATTCCACAATCTATTTCTGTTTGGGGAGATTTTTTTTTTTTTTTACAATCCTCTAATCTCTTTTATCGGGCTGGAGTTGGGGTGACTGAATGAAGTTGAGTGTTTACTGGCTGGATGCCTCCCTGACGCCTACACAGAGTTTGCAGCGGACATTTTCTCTTTGTACCCTGATAGGAAAACATCTGTTTCTGCTTAGGACTGAACTCTCAGCCTTCCACGTGGGAGACAAGTATCTTCACCTCTAGGCCACCAGGCTGCTCATGAGGAGACAATAATCTGATAGCAAAAATAATTCTTCCTCCACTGTTTCCATAGAGTAAGAGAGAGAAGAGAAATTCTGATACACAGGCAGAATTCTCCCCGTATAATATCAGATATAGCCCAAGGGTGATATCCTTCCTGCTCTTTTGTGCTAAATCAGAATTTTGTAGATGCCAGTTAAAGAGGGCCTTGAGGGAACCAAACTTGAAAAAGACAATGTTTTCTTTTTTTCTAGACAAACTTGGACCCACAGTCTTTGCCCCTGTTAAAATGGATTTTGAAGGAAATATAAAGGTAATAGATTCAGTTTAACATTCAGTGGCCATTAATATATAACTTTCATAGCATTGTAGAACTGAAAGGAACCATTTAGACCAGTGGTAGTTAACCTGGTCCCTACCACCCACCAGTGGGCATTCCAGCTTTCATGGTGGGCAGTAGGGGTTTTGTCCCCTGCTTTATAAAATCACCATTACTGTGGAACCGGTGGATGGTTAGAGAAAATTTTACTACTAACAGAGATACAAAAGTGGGCGGTCGGTATAAAAAGGTTGACTACTCCTGATTTAGACTATCATGTATTCAAGTTCAAAACAAAGAAAGCCTGGCCAAGATACAGTATGTCAATATATATCTCTATATAAGAACCTACCACCTCCCAGGTATTGTTCAGAGGTCAAACTATTCTTAGAATTAGGCAGGATTTTGTAATTTTCACCGGCATTTGCCTTTCTGTAACTTCAGCTTATTCTCCCATGTTTCATTTTTATTTTTTTTCTCTTCTATTCAATTGTGTCTTCATGTACTTAAAGAGAGCTATATTAAAGAGAGCTGTTGTATCCCCTCACAGGGCCCATCTATGTTTACTTTCTGGGCTGCTGTCTTTGCCACTCTGTTGCAAAATAGCTTTCTCACACTGTCATAGGAGGTCTGTAAAACTGTTTGTTTCAGCTGGCTAGTGGGGGGAGAACCCAAATCAGAAGACAGCAGATGGTCTAGTCCAGGGGTGTCAAACTCAAGACCTATGGCCCAGATCCAGCCCGTGGGTTGCATAGATATGACCCATGGGGCCACTCTGGAAACAGTGAAGGACTGGCCTGTGGTGCCTCTGCCACCGCCCTTCCGAGCTCCATTTTTGGCTGTGATGACCTCCTGCAACCCTCTGCCAGTGAATATAGAGCTCAGGAGGGCCATGTGCGGCCTTCCCGAGCTCCGTTTTCACTGGCAGAGTACTTGGGCCACCAGGCGTCCCCAACATGAGTGACATTGAGAAGCCCACCCTGGTCACGATTATCCAGCCTCCAAGGTCAAACACAAACCTGATGCAGCCTGCAATGAAATAAAGTTTAACCCCCCCGCTAGTCTAGTCCTACCCCAGTTCTTTTCCATGCACATTAACTTTTTGTGGCAACAAAAGTTAGAAAACAAAAGAAATTCAGATGCTATAGGATAGGGAACAAGTGATGATACTAGCACCTTAGTTTCTAAAAAGCGATGGAAACCTTGATAAAAATGGAGTTCGTGTCAATGAAAATCCATTTGCCATTGTTCCAGAGAAAATGCTGCCTAAATGTTATATCTGAATGGAAAGCTGGATAGTTAATTCTAAAAGTTTTCAAAGTCCAAAAATGGAGAGTTCCAAAGAAAATTGTTACCTCTGGAAAGGTGTTCTGTTACCTTTCCTTTAGGTTGAAATACAGTATATTCTGTTATCTCTTTCTCTCTTTTTAGGACTTAATTTCTAATCATCTCCTTGTTACTCAGCTTTTTTCAAAGAAAACTAGATGCAGAAATAGCTTAAGGCTTTTCAGAGAAGGAGAAAAACCACTCTTGGAAAAAACCACCAGCAGAATTATATATTTAGAGTTTTAAAGACTAGTTTTGTCATCATTGCTGTAGAGACATGCAGTATTTGGATTGGAACTTGGCAAAATTTCTTCCTATTTTACATGGCACAACACCAGTGTCTGTTTTCACACTTAATTCAATGTACCTTTGCCTACTTTAGATCCAAATACTATGACTCTCAATCCTACCATTATATTAAGTAAGGGTATTGGATACCAGCAGGTTTATATCTTTAAGCGTTTTTCTTTGATTGCTAAAAAGTCTGAAATGTATGTTTGACATCCTTTTAGAAAATAAATCAGAAATATATAACCAACAAAGAGGATTTCTGTACCCTTCAAAAAATTGTCCTTCATGATTTGAGCACTGAAGTGGCGCAAATTCGACACTCTGCTACACAGGCCCTCCTCTGGCTTAAAAGGTCAGTGTTCTGTTCTGAGGGTAATTTGAGATGACTCAGTAGAAGGGACTTGCCTTTGCTCTAAAATCTGTAAATAATGTTTACTTTTTAAGAAAGCAATTGCATTTCTGTCACAATACATGCAAAACATGTAAACCCAAGTTATCATTTGTATTTAAAAACACTAAAATATATGGACTTGTGCATCATGATCAGTCTTTGGGTGCAGATTACAGACTAGCCAGTTACTGGGAATGTTACAAGTTTAGAAAAACATTCTCCATATTACAGTGGAGAAATGGCGAGCAGCTATGAAATCCCAGCTTTCTGAGATAGTCATTTTCTAATTAAAAGCAGATTACAAATTTTCAGGTCAAGTTATAAACGTAAGCCTTGATGTCCTCTCATATTTTATATCTTTATTTCTCACTGCTATATCAAAATATTCAAGAGGATGATTTGATTTGTAAAGTTTCAATGAAACTGCACTTGTGAGCAGAATTGTGAAGAAATTCTATAGGACAATGTGTTTAGCCTTACCTTATTAAATATACGAGTTGTCAAATGAGTTTTTATTGCTATTTGATAACACCATGCATGAAACAATATATAGACAATGAATATGCATATTGGACTTGTTAGCAACTTTTCACCATAATAGTGGCCTTTATGCTTAACATTTTCAAAATCAATGCCTGCAATCTAGAAAGTGCTTTGTTCTGTTGTTGATATTCAAGATATTTTCAGAAACATAATAAAAATAAGAAAACATCTTCAGCCAACTTAATGTGATGAATTAAAACAAAAACAAAAATTGTCACTGCTTCCTAATAACTTGTCGTGGTTTTCTTACATCCTGGAAATAGCTGGGAAAATGTCCTTGCTTTTACAAGAACTGATTCATGCAATTGGAATAAAAAAAAAAATTCTTTAGGATTTGTTTCCAGAAAGGTGTGTTTTCATTTGTTTGAGATTATATTTGATTTTAAATATTTGTAATTTAAAAATCAGTTCTTATTTTCAGAAATAGCAGTAATAGATATATACAGAATTCGTAGATATGGATTCACAAAGCTGAGAGTTATGTTAGGCAGCTTCCCATTGTTATACAAAAAGCTTTCAAACAAAAAGCTTTCAAAACTAAATCACAGAGATGCAAAGGGCCTCATTATTCCTCTCTTTGTCTTCCTTGGTAAAATGAATGGAATGTTTTCAGAGATCTAATATATCTTGTTTGTCATAAACAGAGGTTTAAAATTTTTGAAGGAGTTCTTGACAGAACTAAAGAATGGAGAGAAAAACATCCAAACAGCACTGAGTAAGTACAGAATATTTTGTGAAATTTTATAAATGCAAGAAATAAATAAATCTGTCCAATCATTGCCTTTATTTGGATTACATATACTAAATAAAAAGTAAAGCTTAAAGTGAAAAAGAAACCTATTTTTTGTGTAAGAAAAAATATGGTTAGAAAGATTTTGCATGAATAAGGAACCTGTTCCTTTTTGGCTACTTCTGATCTGAATTCAGCATCTTGCAATGATTTCCTTTCTCTTTGCAGACAAATCTTATGGCAAAACATTACGACAGTATCATGGCTGGGTTGTTCGAGGAGTTTTTGCGGTAAGTCCTCACTGCTTTCCCAAACAAAGAGTAAAGATGGAGATGATCACTGTTTTGAGATATTTGATTTTGCCCTACTGGACAAGCAGGAAATATTTCTGTTAACACATCAGTAGTCCTTTTTTCTCCTATATTGGTTCTAGTCAGGAAACTATTAACTACACCAAATATAGGTCAACCTAATTTGAGAGGTCTGATGTTGAACGCAAGATTTCATGGGAAGAACATCTAAGCCTGTGTCTTGTCCCATTCTCGGTTCTGGAGGATCCCATGGTGTTTTTTTCTTTGAGCCAGAGATGTTGCTTCTCAACCTTACCAACTTTAAGATGTGTGGACTTCAATTCCCACATACCTTAAAATTGACAAAATTGATGAATGCTGCTTTGGAGCTTGAAGCTTTGATACAAATAATGATATGTCAGAATAAACTGAATGGATCCATTAAAAAGAAAGAAAGCAATGTTGGAGGAAAGAGATAGCCTCAATCTTTTCTCCTTACAAAAGAATTGTTTAGCTTTGATGGGTAATAGATTGCTTTATACACACTCTTTCCTGTGTATTTAATAATTGCATCCACCTGTTATTTTAAATAGCATTTGGGTCTACTGTACATATGGCCCGGGGGCTTCAGATGGTTGATTTCTGTGTAGAGCTGATACCACTCTTAAATAATTTACCTTAGTTATGTAGACCTAAAATAATTTATCCCTCCATTTATCATTATCATCCAATGCAAATGATGAAGTAGAAATTAGAAGATACCATGCTTGACTTTCTTTTTACCCCCTTTCCTTTCAGCTAGCTCTAAGAGCATCTCCCACCTATGCAGGCTTTGTGGCTGCGTTGTCGCTTGCAGAATGTGAAAATCAAGAAGAAGCTTTTTATCATGGAATGCAGCGGGACCTTAATATTTACCTACCAGCCATGGAAAAGCAGCTCAACATCTTGGATGCATTATATGAAGAACATGGACTAGAGTCAGATGAAGTGGTCTGACCTCAGCTCAACTTTGTTTTCAATATTCAGGGATTCTGTCCATCAGTGTACTATGTTGCTCTTTTCCTCAGAAAGCTGTATCTGTTTTTGTTTTTTTTCCATACATGGGAAAGAATTCCATGCTGCTTCTTTTTTTTAATATACAGTTTTAAAAAAATACTTGTTTTGTGTTTAAATGCAAAGTTGCTGTTTAATCTAGCTGGGTTCCACCTATCTTTACGGCAAGATCCTTAGAATAGAGATATATTGTTTATTTAATGAATAACAGGCCAAATATGGAAGTGGTTCCAGTCTGAGGAGTTTAGTACCATTTGGTTGGACATTTAAAACTTGCTGAAGCATTTATTCCAACCCAGTGATATATACCTGTAACTGTAAAACTCAGCCAATTCACATTAGAGTCTGTCTTGTAAAGGATTTATATCACAACTACATCTTTGCTCTCCCTTCTTTTGCCAAGTTCACATTGAATTTTGAAACTATTGGCTGTATCTATTAAGGGAGCTATAGCAATGAACCAGCTCTATTCTACTTAACAGGTATGATACACCTCTTAATAGAATTTATTTCTTCTAACCTGGAGCTGTGGTTTCATAATAGCCCAGAAATACCAGGAAAAAAGAGGGTTAATTCTGCCCTGTGCCATAATTGGATTTAGTCCTTTCCAGTGCTAATAACCAAATGCCCTTGGATTCTAGGACTGGAAGTATATACCTAACATCATATAGTGCAAAAGTGTCTCAAACTGATATGCTCTGGATTGGGCAGAACTTTTGCTATTCCTACACTTTTCATATTAGAAGCCTACATTTTATGGTTGGTCTAGCACTATCAGATCTGGCTAAATTTAGAACAAAATGAGATAAATAGTCCATAATAGTGGGAAACCTTTAACATTCTGTATAGGCTGGCCCATCTATATGAATGTGCTTAAAGCAAACTTAGAGTATTTTTTAGGTTTTAAATTATTAGGAACTATTAATTAGAAATTTCAAAGAAAACTTGAAGTTTTAGGATTAGAAAACTAAGTTGGTATCTGGATATAGCTACCTGATGATCTACCTGGGTAATAAATTGCTAGTCTATAAAATTTGAAACATTCTATAATTAACTAAGCACAAATGCTGTCATTTATACATACCTGCATTTATGTCAATAGAATGATTGTAGAAAATTGTATTTTGCCATCTTAATCAAATGCAATGATTGGATAACTCAGGAAATCCAGAAACTTTATCTATTGTTTCTCTTTTTAAGCATTTATATTTTGCTTTTATATTCAATATACAAACAATGAGTTTGGAATTCATTGAAAAGAAGTCCGAATACCTGACCACTGACAATGAAATGACAGGCTCCATCCACGTGAACGGGCAGGAGCTACCGCGCGCCTCCACCTTCAAGTACCTGGGAACTACTCTTGGGGAAGAAGGCCTACTACAAACTGAGGTGGCAGCCAGGATCAATGCAGCGTGGGGCAAATGGAAGTCCGTCACGGGCGTCCTCTGTGACAAGAAGATGCTGATGCGCCTGAAGGCGAAAATCTATAACTCTGTGGTGCGCCCCGTGGCCATATACGGCGCAGAGTGCTGGCCGACGACCAAAGAAGTCGAAAGCAGACTCCAGATAATGGAGATGCGAATGCTCCGATGGTCGGTAGGCCTCACCCTACTCGATCGCGTCAGGAACGAAGAAGTGCGTAGACGGTTCAACGTCGTGCCCATCCCCACGGTCATGAGGCAGTCCCGGCTACGATGGTTCGGCCACGTGAGCCGCGCCAAGGAAGAATCCATCATCAAATCTGTAATGAAGGTGACTGTCGGAGGAGCGAGACCGCGTGGTAGACCTAAACAACGCTGGATGGACACGATCAAGGCCGATCTAGAGATCGCGAAGGCAGACCCGACACACGTGGCAGACAGACAGGTGTGGAAGCAGTACTCAAGGACATTAGCGGACCTCGCCCGAGCGCGAGACAAACGCTGAAGAAAAAGAAGAAGAAGAAGAAGAGTTTGGAATTCATTATAGAAACACTTAACCAATGGTCTTATCATGTTATTTTGTGAGCAATTGGTACATGAAATATGTTTTTTCCATCACACATTTATATGCCCATGCTTTTTTTAGAAATAGTTTCTTTTTGAAGTCATAAGGCCGTATTAAAAAAGGGAAGTAGATTTTTCTGTATTGAATATACATTACTGAATTTTGAGGCACTTTATAAATACTTTTGTTAATATTCTAACTTGGATAAATTTCCTGCTCATAAATATTCCTTCAAAAATAATACTTTTGTTTCAGGAGAAAAACAAAACAAAAAATGAAATTATTTTCCAACTTTTGTATTATAGACGATTAGCAGTATTTCAAGCTGAGGCTTGGGAATCTTTTAATTTTCTTTTCTTTTTCTCACCAAGTGAAATCCAAAGAGAAGAACTGACTGGTTACTTTGTTTACGTCACTACTTGCAACCAAACTAAGTAAGGAAATTAATAATATAACTGGGTGGAGCTTCAAGATGGAGAAAAAGGACTAATGTCAAGTCCTTAACTTTCAGTGGCCAGAATAGGTATCTGAAAATAGGTTTCTTTATTCCCCTTCCAGCTTGTTTACCCCAGCCCTCAGACTTTGGGGCATGAAAATAAATTACACTAGTTTAGGGATTGTCTTACATAAGAACTTTGGGGTGGGGGGATTCATCGGATTAACAACACACATCCAGAGTTGTCCCATATTTGCTTCTTCTGTAAGACCTCCACAAATGGGAGATCTACAAATTTGGAGCAAAACTGGTTTGTAGAAATCCATCAGCATAAGTGCCATCATACCAGAGGGGGTTTTCTCTCTTCTATTAGAATGGCTTCTGGACACTTTTGAGGCTTTCTCATTTAGGACAACACCAGAGCATATTTGTGCAGAATTAATAATAATAATAATAATAATAATAATAATAATTTTAAAAAAAACCTGATCAGGCAATGTGTTGTCCTCTACATGCTTAATTCTTTTGTTAGCTTACCCATCATGGCAGCCTTGTTTGACAGGTTGGTAGTGATGACAGTGAATGTAATTTGAGTTGCAAGCTATGCACATGTTTACTTGTTGACTAAGGTCAGCCTGCAGTTGTAGTTTTGTATCATGTTTTGCCATTGTTTTGCATAATACATTTTTCCTTTTTTTTTTTACCGTAGTCATTCTTTTACTGTCACATTCTCTTAATTAGATGATTTTCTTACTTGATGAAAGGTTGTGTAATTTATGATAGAAACCGTGTTTTTCCAGGGAATATGAAATGTTGGCATTTACCCCACAATGATATGTATGATATGAAGTTGTATTTTTTTATATTACGGTATGTTGCCATTCTAAGACATCATGCTTTTGTCAAACCAAATTAAGCGACAGTAATGTCCAGTTGATATGTTACATAGTATATTATTTGGATTACAATGAAAAATGCCTTTGTTCTTACTGGAAAAAAAACTATTCAGAATTGGAAAAACAAGACACAGTTTTCCACCAAATAGCAGAGGAGTTTTGTATAGAAAAATAAGTGAATTTGTAATACCTCTAAACATGGGTGTGATTTGCTTTACTTGGATGAAATGAATGTTATCCCTGGTTGGTTTAAATCAGTTAATTCTTTGTTAATTGTGTATTCTCAGGGAAATGAGCAGCAAGGCAAAAATAGTCTGTATTTTACAGTGAAGCTTTTTTCATGTAAATACACTATACATAAGTTTCATATCTCTTATTATTATAAATTGTTTGGGACTTGGGTAACATATGAGAAAGCAATTGGGAAAGTACTTCATGAACTGCAATTGACCTGTATGATTTGCATACTCTAAGCCTCTATCAAGCAACATATAGGAAGATTGTTAGAATTTCTTCACCTCACACTCAGTAGTTGAATGTATCATACTTCGATAATTTGTAATATTCCTTTAAAAATATACTCTGAAAGCAAAATTGCCACATTCTGATCCTATTTCAGATTCAAGATAACAGTGTATCATAGATAATTTTCCTGTTAAAAAAAAGCAAATAGAGGATCATCATAAAAAATATTACAAGTAATGCTTAGTATTCTACCATGCTACATATTTGTTTTATTTTTTTCCTGTCTTTTGTTTTATCATAATCCATGCCTTGAAAATGGACAATATTTCTTTTAGTTACTGGACTTTGAAGTGCAATCCAAAGATGATCTCTCCTCTTCATTAGAAATGATGGTACATAGAATGCAATCTCATTTACCTGAATAATAAACTTTGGATCTTATTGTCTCTAGTTTCCTGTTAATCCAGTGGTAATTTTTAGCTGCTATAAAGCAGGTGGAGAACTTCTAGCTTCATTAAAGTGAAACCTGTTTTTAGGAGTATTCTGTGTGTTTAAAATTCTGGGTTATTTGTTGGAATCAATTTACATTATTTGCACATTGTTCCTGCAGTCTAACTTTTATTGCAATATAAAAGCTGAAAGTGGCCAACCTCAGTCTTTACTTGGGACGTAATTGCTTTTTAGAATTGAAGGCCTGTAAGTGCCACTCTACTGAACATAGATTTAATTCTGACTGAACACAAATAGGATTGTCTTGTAATATAGATTGAATTCATGTCTAAAACAAGAATTTCCACAATTCATTCTTACTTTGATAGTACCCATTGTAGATTCGGCTCTCAAAGCATGGTATAATGGTACACGAGAAAGACCTAGGGAAATTGGACAAAGAGATACCATTAAGGGAACAATAAGGTAAGAGACACTATTGGATAGTGGACAAAGCAAGAGCTGGGGGGGAAAACTTGGTTTCTTAGGCTGTAAAGAGACACCGGGGAATATTGTACTTTAAGATCTGCAAGATAGATGTTGGCCTTGTGGGACAAACCAGATCAGGAGTTAATTCTACTTTTTGCAATGCTACATTGAAAGAACCTTGAAAGCAATTCCTCCCTTCTCCACCCTTTTCTTTGCAAGAAGCTTAGGAGGATCTTGAGCTTCTTGCCTCACCAAATGTGACCTTTGCCATCTTCTAATCTGACCATTCTCTTGGCCATGTTTCTCTCCTCCATGTCCCAAAGTCTAACCATTAAACATAGATGGAAAGAATTTGGGATTATTTTAGATTCTATTATACCAAGTTGGTGCTAACGAGCAGTTAATGGCGTAAATTGCTAGCAGCCTGGGCTCCTTTACAGTAGTTTTGCCAGTTGAGAGAAAAAGATGTTTTGAGTGGGAAAAAAAAGAGATAAAGGTAGGCTGGATGAGTGAACAATATGGTCAACAATGAGCTTGTGAGATCTTGGGAAAATAGCTGTATATTGGACAGGTGCTGCTTCCAAACAACCAAACTAATCAGCAGGATAATAAAATGGACAGCCAGACTGCAAGTGTCGAGTGGCAGGAAAATCTGGCTTGACTCCAGTTTTATGGATTCTGGCTGAATTTCAACATCATAGAGTCTGGCTCCAACTTCTCACAATCTCACAGGGATTCTTCACTCCAAATTCAGTTGCAACCACCCAGGGGCTCATGACCCCAGTCAGTATAAGAACACCCGGGATAAGGATATAAGCTCAGAGATACTTGCAGTGTTAAAATGTGGGACTGAAAGAACTTTGGTTCACTAATACTGAATGTGTTAATAGGAATGAATATAGAAAGAATGAAGTGTTATTCCAAATAAAAAGAGTTGCACAATTATTATAACAATTCTCCAAATTTCTGGTGGATGTACAATGAAGATGATGAGCAAAAGAAAAAGAACGCTTAAGCACGAAGTGGTCTCAATAATTGGTTCTAAGTGTTGTTCAATTAGATGAGAATGAGTTGACTTTTACCCACATTCTTAATATTTTTTATTCCATGTATTGTAATTAACTTAGATTTATATGAAAGAACTGCATTGGCCATAGCATAGGAGGAATGGACGCTTGGGCATCAGCATATTAATCTATGATGCCTCTCTGCACTGTATTCTACTAAATTGCTAGGGAAGAGATGTGCAAAATTAATTGATTAATTGATAAAATATGCCAAAGTACTGGAGAGCATTCCTTTTGTCTATAGACCAAGCTGTATTTCCTTCTGGACCATTTCATTTATGGAACCGAATGGGGGATTTCCATGCTGGAAGTAGCTGCTGGACTGAAAGCAAACTCTACCTCCCCCCACCATTTGTTCTCCACCCACCTACCCATATTCTCATCACTTCCTTTTGCATTGTTTTATTTTTCTAATATTTTACTTCTGTTTTGTTAACACTCTCTTTGTTTCTTTTTATTGTTTTAAGCCACCTAAGAGTAGGCCCTCAGCATGATAGGTGCCAAATAAAATGATCAATAAATAAAAATAAAATTTAGGGGACAGTTTTTTCAAAAGTAAATCCTCCAGATGTGAACAAATTCAAGATTTTTTATGCATATTGTTCCAGATAATGTGGTCTGGAAGGATGTTTGCCATTGTTCAGAATAAAATATCGATTCCTTCTCCTCCTTTCTCCCCACTTTCAGATTACAGTCCATCTATTCAACTGAGAAAAAGGGAGTCTATTGTGTCGTGCAGTTTAGGCTAATCGCATAATGTTAAGCCTCCTAGGTAATCCAGGCCAGTAAATTAAAATCAAAGATACTAATACTGCTACCTTTATTGTAAGGTTACAGGTTTGAAAGTATGTTCCACCTCCAGTTCCATCAGCTCAGATAGGGAAACTGCTTGGCAGGGATGCATAATTCAATAGCAGAATATTTTATTTATCCCAAGTGCCCAAAAAAGATTATAATTCACGGACTTTCTTCTGGCCACTACCAATGCGAGCATGTGCTTTTTGTGGCAACAAAATCAGACTAAAATTGTGGTGCAACCTTCCTCCTACTGGTGATGCCTGAAGGGACTTTTGTTTTATTTTAATCAACATACTCATTTATTTATTTACTAAAGTTCTCGGCTGTTTAGAATTGCAATATGTCCTAATGCTTTAGTTACACTAAATTGGTAAGTAGGTGTACATTTCTATGTAATTGAAATAGTCTGTAGATATTTTCCCACAAGAATATTCATAAAAGTGCCACTGGGTGGCATGAATGAGCATTGCTTAGAAAATAGTTCAGTAGCAAAGAGATTTTGAGACAACAAATTATTTGTATATATATTTTCTATCCAAACT